GTAAAATTCACAGCTTCTTTTCTGAACCTCTTTCTGTGGAGAAGTCCAAAATAATCTGTAACTAAATCTTTAAATGTATTTGTAATTCCATGCTTCAAAAGTTTTGCAAGGTACAAGCATTGTTAGGTACCATTCTCAAACCTAGGATTAAGAATTGTATAAATCACAAGATCATGGATTGATTTTATCCACTCTTAGGATCTCTCTTACCACACAGCAGGTGCAATCATGGCTGTTAACTCTATAACATCTCATGCTTAGCAGGGAAAGAAAAATGAAAAATAACTTTTTATTTACTAAAACATGATTCAGGAGAGATGACGCTGTGGTGAAGACAAGGAAGAGAAAATGAAAAAGCTGATCCACGAGATTTTACAAGAAGCCTGTGATACCCAGCTAAAAATGGTATCTTGAGGACTTTGCTTAAGAACTTTGTACCTAGGGATGTTGTCTACTGATGCTCTTCCTGCTCCCTTCCCTTCATCCTCATTCTGTTGGTAGGTTATTTTAAAGATTATTTAAAATTAGACAAAAGAATTAACTCTGAGGACTATTCAATACACAACTTAGTCAGAAACAGCCCCTCCACTGCTCCAGTCTGATGTGCCCACTTGAGCTGGCTCAAGTGACAGCTGTGACCAGCTCACTTGAGCTGTTCCCTGTTGTGGCTGTATCAAGCCCCTGTGCAGTCAGTGCCTTTCACACGACAGTTCTCTCTCACTCAGGCCCCTCTTTCTTTCATGAGTCAAGCATTCAAAAACCTTTCTGTCTAACCTTGATCTCACCTCTGCACTGATCTGGATTCTGCAGCTCCATCAGCTTTTCTTCATCAACACTTTTCCTTCACCACCTGGCACAGGGAGGGTTCATCCATTTTGGCTTATCCCACCTCCTCTGGCATCCCCTCTGCTGACCCTTCCTGCCTCTCTGGGAGCTCAGCTATGTCTCTGTCATGTTCCAGCTGGACTCAGTCACTTCTGAAACAAAAAGGCATTTCAGAGATGCCGAGAACAGGGCAAGAAGAATTCCTTATGCCTTAAAAAACATACATGGGACTGAAACCTCCATTACCACATTATCATAGAATGGTTTGAGTTGGAAGGGACCTTAAAGGCCATGGGCAGGGGCACCTTCCACTATCCCAGGTTGGTCCAAGTCTTGTCCAACCTGGCCTTGGACACTCCCAGGGATGAGGCAGCCACAGCTTCTCTGGGCAACCTGTGCCAGGGCTTCGGCACCCTCACAGGGAAGAACATTTTTCCTAATATTATATATAATATATCATTTCCAAAATATTATAGATATTATAGTACATATGATATGATATATACTGTCATATATTATGATATAGGTTATATATGTGTGTATAAATATACACACTAGTAAAAACCACACCAATTATATATACTGGTATACAGTATATATAGCATATTTTATATATATATATATATATATATATATACTGGTATATGGTATATAGTATATATACAGTATATAAATACTATATATAGTATATTTGTATACTATATATTATATATATACTATTGCATACTGGTCTGTATATGTGTAAAAACTACATCAATTACTCTTTATTACCGAACGACTGGTAAGTATCTGGTTACTAACTGGTTGAAGAACTGTTAAAAATATTTAAGACGGTTAATAAGCGCATTTTTGCAGGCTGGAGGGAATGCAACAGCTCCTCCTAGCGTCAGCCGCGCAGAGCAGGAACCCGTCTGGCGCAGGCTCTCGGGGCTGATCAGCCTTTAAAGGCACACTAATAAACCACGGGGTGTTTCCAGCCCATTCCTAGCGGCGGGGGCCGAGGGCAGGGCGGGCTGAGGCGGAGCCCCCTCAGTGCCCGGGCACGGCTGAGGCCCGGCCCCGCCATGGCGGCCTCTCCTGAGGGGCCGCGCGGGGCCCGGCCTGCCGGGACGCCCGTGTGCCTAGCGGGAACGGGGGCTCCGTGTGCACGTCCATTACTGAGTCAGTGACGGCTTCCTCTGGCTGCAAACACCTCCGAGGGCAGCCAGTGCTACCTGTGCCTAACACCTCTGAGGCCAGCCCGTCCAACCTGTGCCAAACAAACACCTCTGAGGGCAGCCTGTCCAACCTGTGCCGAACAAACACCTCTGAGGGCAGCCTGTCCAACCTGTGCCGAACAAACACCTCTGAGGGCAGCCTGTCCAACCTGTGCCAAAAAAACACCTCTGAGGGCAGCCCATCCATCCAACCTGGGCCAAACAAACACCTCTGAGGGCAGCCCTTCCAACCTGTGCCGAACAAACACCTCCTAGGCCAGCCCGCCCAACCTGGGCCAAACAAACACCTCTGAGGGCAGCCTGTCCAACCTGGGCTGAACAAACACCTCTGAGGGCAGCCTGTCCAACCTGTGCCAAACAAACGCCTCTGAGGGCAGCCCATCCATCCAACCTGTGCCGAACAAACACCTCTGAGGGCAGCCCTTCCAACCTGTGCTGAACACACATCTCTGAGGGCAGCCCTTCCAATCTGTGCCAAACAAACACCTCTGAGGGCAGCCTGTCCAACCTGTGCCAAACAAACACCTCTGAGGGCAGCCCGTCCAACCTGTGCCAAACAAACACCTCTGAGGGCAGCCTGTCCAACCTGGGCTGAACAAATACCTCTGAGGGCAGCCCATCCATCCAACCTGTGCCAAACAAACACCTCTGAGGCCAGCCTGCCCAACCTGGGCCAAACAAACACCTCCAAGGCCAGTGATTCCAGCCTGGGACCCAGCCCTAGCACCACGTCCCGTCTTTCTTTGAATACCTCTCTGGGCAGCCCGTTCCAATGTCTAACCACCCTTTTTGTGATTAAATTCTTCCTCATGTCCACGCTGAACCTCCCCCAGCACAGCTTAAGGCTGTGTCCTCTCATGCCATCACTTGTTACCTTGGAGAAGAGCCCAATGTTCCTCCACTGTCCTCTCGGGGAGTTGTAGAGAGCGAAAAAATCTCTGGATAAAATCTGTGGGTAAACAACCCCAACTCCCTCACCTGCTCCTCATCACATTTGCTCTCTTGTCCCTGCACCATCTCTGTTGAAGTAATAAGGAAGTATTACCTACCTCAAATTCCAATTAAAACCCACCACATCAACAGAAAATTGGTGGGTTTTGCTAGGTTTGTTCTTTTGGCAGTCTGGAGAGCTGGTTTAGGTCACTGGAGAAATCAGTGATGGGAATATAAACTGGGAGGGGGACTAAGCCCTTAATTTAAATTTAGTTTTAAACACTGATTTAAATTTATTAAAGTGAATTTGCTACAGTAAGATTACTCAGCTTCTCTCATATAATCACACAATTAATATTTTCCCTGTAAATCAGTTTAAGACTCTTACAAGGCAGAGAATGACAAATGCATTGATCAGGGAGAAATTGATGAAGAGGATGTTTGTCCCATATGTCAGGAGGTGTTATTAAGGAAAGTGTTTCAGTTCCCTTAGTACAGATTAGGCATAAAATTTGTTCTCTGACTTGCTACACGTTTCAGTTCCCTTAGTACAGATTAGGCATAAAATTTGTTCTCTGACTTGCTACACTTCTAATAACAGAAAAAAATCCAAAAGAAAAAATACCTGACCATTGTTACAGCCCTTTTGCAATCTGGGAAAATGTGGCAATCTTAGGAGCTAAAATATGAGTGGAGAGGAAGGAGGAAAAAAAAAGGGGGGAGACTACTTAGTATTGCTATGTGATTTTTCTTAATTTTGGAGAGATTAGAGAAATTGGAATTCATTTTCTGTAGATATATCTGTGGTAATGTTCACATTAAATACATAAAACTTTGGGCAAACCACCATGATGAACTGGAGCGTGGCTCTGCAGCGAAGTGTCCACTTTACAGAGAAAAACATGCACTTCTTCTCATTCTAATAGAATTTAGAAACTAAACAACTTGTGAATGCAACAGAAAAATCAAGACTGAACAGCCACTTTGGAAACCCTTGTGATAACTGCAGAGCATTTCCAGCATAGGAAAGCGCTACAATAAATACTTTCAAACCAGTATTTTGAGAGTTTTTGAGTATATCTTATAGCTTGTCACTTACTTCTCTGCCTTAATGTAAGTAACTGACTGTGATGCCAAAAATCACAAGCCATACAATATTAAATTACAAAAAGGGCTTACCTTCAATGAAGGTCCTTCAGGTGCAAGTGTGGCACAATGCACACAAATACAGGACTGACAATTTTAAAGGTGGAACAAATAGCACACTTAACAGAAATGATCCAATTAGAGGAACAGTTAATTAAGTAACCCCCTCCCCCTTTTGGTTCTGCCCCCCTCTGAAGCCCCCTCCCAGCTCCTAGCCCCACATTTATTATGCCTACAGTATCTGGAAAAAAAACAAAACATCCTTGGTTCACTCTAGGGGAAAGACTAATTAGGATTCCAGGAAGGTTAGCTTGCTGTTCTAAAATCTAAGAGAAAAGGTAGGAGAAGTACTTAAGTTAGTTAAAGAGCTATATAACTATATAATAGTAGTCTGCAGAGCTACAAATTTATGAAAAATGTATAAAAAATTAAAATTTTGGCATCAACTTCACCTAGAGCATCTATGGCAAACAAAGCAAATGTTTTTAAACTTGCTCTTAGTGCAGTACATCTTCAAATGATTCTGTAGTATGTATTTGGATTGTCCTTTTCCAAATAAATAATTTAGCTATGACTTTATCACAAAGGGCTGAAAACTCTTTAAGCTAGCTACTTAATCTGCTGATGTGCTCTTTTTTGTTTGCAAGGAAATTGTCTCCAAGGTCCAGCTGAAGACTACAAGAAGTTTTTCTTCACAAGAAACAGAATAGAGAATGTGACTCTATTAGAATTGGTAACCTGAAGGAGGATGACATTCTTTTGTCATGGGAATTATGATGATGACAGAAATACCTTAATGATATTTAGAAAAAAGTGTTGAGAGATGTCCCTAAACAACATATGACTTCAAAGATAAACAAATAACATTTCAGGCATCGATAACTTTTTCAAATTTTTATTATATTGCATAAGCTGTAACATTTTACAAACCTTAGTTACATTTTCAGCAACAGATACACTGATACTGTAGTAAATACAGAGATGAAAAGACACCTCTGACAAAATATAAAAAGGTAGAAATACTTAAAACCAGGATGCCGAATATCAAGAATGTTTTACATAAACAATATCCATACTAGAGAGTTTTTGAAAATAATTGCTGAGGTCATGAAGCGTTTGTTGAATGTGAGGCTCCAGAATTCAAGGTGGTGAGCACAGTCAGGGCCATGAGTTCACCTGCCTTGCAACCCCCAGAGCCAGGCTTTGCACGAGTAACATGCTCTAATGAGCACTAAAAACTGCCTTTCTACACAGTGACATGTAAAAATAGTACTGTTCTAACGTGGACTGAAGTGCAATGAGTGCTTCAAAGGAACTAAATCCATTACCTAGGGAATAAAGTACCAGGATGTTTTGGGGAGGGGTAATATAGGAATGTTCAGTAAGTCCTAAAACTGACTGAAAATATTCATTTGGTAAAACAGTTTTCAGGCTGAGGGTGCTAGCAAAACAAGAAATGACAGAGGTTTGCCCTGTCAGTCTTAAAAAAAGCTGAAGCTTTTTATTTTTTCAGAACACAATGAATACTGCTTTTGAAAGGAAACGAAGCTCAGATTCAAGTCATTTAAATCACCTTTCATATAAACTCTTTAACACAAATGTAGCTGCCTACTGTTAGAAGTGTGGCACAAATTAGTACAAATTACTAGAAAAGAATGCTCATCTTTAGCTCTGTAGGCATAGTACTGTGTTTTCATAGTACCACTGAATTTAAAAAAAAATAAAAAGCTATTAAAAACCAATGCAAGTTAGGCTCCAAATTGAGATAAAAATTGGTTCTAGAAAATAAGAATTACGTACCAATCTCCATACAATTTCTGCTGCTACTGACAAGCAAAGTTAGCAGCTGAAAAAAGAACTTTTATCATTGTAAGTGTTTATATATAAACATATGTTAATTTCATTTTTTTTAAGTTAATATCCCAGTCAGTTTCATACCTGTAAATCCAGTGACTTAAGATGCTTGCACTTGACACACAAAGTTGAATCAGATCCCATATGAGCATTTTTTAAAGACACTACTGTTCAGATTGCTAAAGATATATTTTTTTAATTTCTTTTCAAACAAAAAAATCAAAACTAGGTTTTACAACAACTACCATCATCATCAACATGCAGAAGTCAGTATTCCAACATAAAAAGCACTAGATCTGCCTCTTAAAATATTATAAAGGCTACATAATTGTATGAATTCAGGGGGTTTTGGCTAACAGAAAATAAAACCATAATGTGCTTTTCAGATAGTCAGATGTCCCACTGATAAAATAAGTCTGATGAAAGAGAAAGGCACTTCAGCAGGCTAATTTATCTCCAGATTTTCCTAATGTAAAGCACTAGACAACAGATGTAGTGCACTGCCTTTTCATCTGCACAGTGTTTGATCAGAAGTGTTGTGAAACTTTGTCACTTTTTAACTAACAAGAATTTATACTGGTGCCAGTTCATTTCATCCTCTTTGGTACAAATCACTGCATAAAAACAAAGGAGACAACTAAACATTCCTACATCCTGGATTATTTTTGGTGTGTCACCTCTAGCTTTATGGTGGCAAATAATGTCCCTAATCAAAACATAATTTTTACTTTCAGGTTTGTAATACCAGAGCTCTATTTTCTGATTGCACTAGAAGGACTTTTTTTCTCTTGATCAAATGCGATTTTTAAGCAATTCCCCCATCTTTTTTTTTTTCATCTAGCATTTGGTAACAATCTAAAAATTACTGTCAATGAGCTTGCACTTAAAACTATATGTACATAAATAAGGGCTTTTCTTGCAAAAGCTGCCAGCTCAAGGAGTGCCTTGTGAAGAACTGAGACATAAGTGTTGCAAACATTTGTGTTCTTCAGAAAGAATTGATTCCACCAAAGCCCAAACACATATCAGTTTGCAAACTAGCATCAGAAAGAAGCTGTATCCTTTCCAATTTTCCTTATTCATTCCCCTCTCCTGTGTCCTCACAGATATTTCTCCCTTCTTATTCTCAAGGTAAGCAACCTGCAGATTCAAAGAAGTAAAACCCTCTGAATGTTTCCCCAGCCTTTCCAAGAGCTGTGTGCCACAAATCCTTGCTAATTTTTGTATAGGCCTAATTCTGGCACCAGCATTTTAACAGTCTGTTAATGCCACAAAGAGCCAACAGAAAAAAAAATCTTAAAAAATAAATTCAGGGACTCCTATAAATTCATATGCTGAAATCATATAGAGAAATAGAGAAAACCATAAGTCTGTGATACTTCACTGTGACATTCTGTCTTCTCCACATGTTACACATCACATAGAATGTTTTGTGGAATTAAAATCTTTAGAGCTCAGCATAGTCAAATTCCTTCTTTTAATGATCTAAAGCCAAAAAGAATCCTAATCTCTAGCAGGCAATACAGGTTTTTCCAGAGCATAAATTCCAACATACAGCTGGAATGTGAAGACTGATATATTTGGAAATATTCTGTATGAATTTAATTCTTAATAATTTTAAAGTTGGATTTCTAATCCTTTTTCTTTAACAGCCAGACACCTACTCTGTCAGAGAATGAGAACAATGGAGTGCCAAACTTGTTTCCTTTGAAGTCACATAAATAAAGCCATTTATAGTAGTCTGTATTTTTAATGATACAAGTAAGTTTGAGAAATTAGGTCTTTTTGGTATATACAATGAAAAATGCATTTAAAAAATCTGAAATATTACTGTAGGTGAACAAAATTTCAAGTAAAGACATATGAACCTGATATGAATTCCTCAAAACCATTAGCTTGTCAGGGATTTTCTATTATGTTCAACAGAATGTATAATAATCTCTTGTTGAAGAGGGAGCCATCAGAACCAATGCAACTCTGCAAACAGGGCAATATTGAACCTCAAGGGCAGCTTTCAGAAGAAATGTGCATATATAAATTGATTCCTACTAATGTATACAACAAAGCAAAGGATGATGTGATCAATATCTGGGCCTAGAAAGTCATATTAAAAAATCCAGTACAACTGTACGTTAAAAAAACAAAAAGTTCTTGTGAAAAAGTATTTGGTATTGGACAACAAAATTCATGTTACCTAGAAAGAGAACCAAAGGCATGCTGATATGACAAGCCATGTTCACATCTGAAACAGATGAATTAAACCTCTTTTTTCTTGAGGCCAATTTAATTACAGACTTATATACACACTGTAGTGGTTTGGCCCTGGCTAGATGCCAGGCACCCACCAAAGCCACTCTTACCAAAAGTGGACAGAGGAGAGAAAATCCAATGAAAGGTTCCTGAATTGAGGTAAGGCCTGGGAGAGATCACTCACTGAATACTGTCACAGGCAGAACAGACTCACTCACCTTGGGGATATTAACTGAATTTATTACTGACAAAACCAGAGCAGAAGAATGACCAGGGAAATAAATCTTAGAAACACCTTCCCTCTACCCCTCCCTCTTTCCCAGCTCAACTTCCTCCCCACAGCGACACAGGCAGACAGGGATGGGTCAGTTCACCCTGTGTGGTTTCTGGGGATAGGAATGGGTCAGTCCACCACGTGTGGTTTCTGGGACAGGAATGGGTTCAGTCCACCACGTGTGGTTTCTGGGACAGGAATGGGTCAGTCCACCACGTGTGGTTTCTGGGGATAGGAATGGGTCAGTCCACCACATGTGGTTTCTGAGACAGGAATGGGTGAGTCCATCACAAGTGGTTTCTGCCACTGCTCAAGGACAGAAGTCCTTCCCCTGCTCCAGCACAGGGTCCCTCCCACAGGAGGCTGCTCTCCATGAACTTCTCCAACTTGAGTCCTTCTCAAGGGCAACAGTTCTCCACAAACTGCTCCAACATGGCTCACTCACTCTTCCACAGGGTGCAGTCCTTCAGGCACAGCCTGCCTCCAGTGTGAGTCCCCCACCAGTACTTCCAGGATACCTGCTGCAGCATGGGCTCCTCTTCTCACAGCTCCTGCCAGGAGCTTGCTGCAGCAGAGGTTTCCCATGTTGAGGCATACTCCAAAGGCTGCAGGTGGATATCTGCACTCCAGGGGTTGCAGGGGGACAGTTGCTTCACCATGTGTTTTGTTAGTGGGGGTAGGAGAGGTCTACAGGGATGAGAAGCTGTCAGAAGCTTCCCTGATGTCCAGCAGAGCCAATGCCAGCAGCTCCAGGACAGAGCTGCTGCTGACCAAGGCTGGGCCAGTCAGAAATGATGGTGACATTTCTGTGATACCAGATTTGAGAAGGAAAAGGAGTTGTTGTGCAGGTGTAATTGTGGCCAGAGAAGAGCAGGGTGAGAACATGTGAGAGGAACAACTCTGCAGACACCAAGGTCAGTGCTAAAGGAGGAGGAGGAGGTGCTCCAGGCATGAGAGCTGAGATTCCCACCTGTGATGGTGATGCCCATGGATACTGGGTGTGGCTGAGCTGGAGTTCATTCCCCATAGCAGCACTGGGCTTTGCCTTGGGAGCTGGAAAGGTGCTGATAACACACCAGTGTTTTGGCCACTGCTGGGCAGGGCTGGCACAGCATCACTGCTGACTCTCAACATTCCCTGCCAACCAGCAGGCTGGGGGTGGGCAAGGGACACATCTGAGCCAGCTGACCCAAATTAACCAAGGGGATGGATATTCCATACCATGTGACATCAGCTCAGATATAAAAGCTATGGAAAGGAGGAGGAAGTGGGGGTATTTGTTATTACAAGGTTTGCCTTCTGGAGCAACCACTGCAAGTCTTGAAGCCCTGCTTCCCAAGAAGCAGCCACACATTACTTGCTGATGAGAAGTAGAGAACAAACCTAAACCTATTTTTCATCTCTTTATGCACATGCAAATTTTTGCTTTTGCCTTAGCAAACTGCTTTATCTCAATCCAGGAGTTGCTTTCCATCTATTTTCTCTCCCCTGCCCAACTGGGAAAGGGGAGCAATAGAGCAGCTTGATGGGCACCTGGCATCCAACCAAGGCCAACCCACCACACACACACCTATCTCAGACTTAATTTGCACTTCCATACTTGTGAATTCAATAGGAACATTTTGTTCATGAAGCAAATGCTCGCTTTGCACTGATGCATTGCTGGTACCATCCTGGTTACCTTCCATATTCTTCTAGAAACACCAACAGACAACTGACAATCCCAACACCACAGACATATTTCACAGTAATATTTCCTGAGTAAATATTCCCAGAAGCCCAGCTGCATAGGATACTTCCCAACTCTTGAGTGCACTACAGGGCAGACAACCAAGCACCACTCACCTCACGATTCAAATACAGGCATTGTATGTTTGGATCTTGGTACAGACCCTTAACCAAGCTCTAAGGGAAATATTTATAAAGCCTTTTTAGGATGATTTATAATCAAACTGCCAAAGCCAAAATGCTGGAACTTATTTCACCAGGGAAACAGCCTCAAAGCCACAGAAACACATTCTGTTCACTATATGAAGCACATTAAGAGATGCATCCATTTTTCTGTTAGCCAAAGTTGAAATGATCACTTTGACAAGATGAACATTAAAATTAAAGAATATTCTGATGGCCTTTCCTTCCTCTATATATATCTTAGTTACAATTCATGCATTCATGACTTTTGGTAAATTTAACTCTAAGATGAGTCATAAATAGTATTTATATTGCATTATAGACCAAATTTTTGCAATCTGCTGTCTCATGCTCATAACCCTCCCCCCCAACTTTTAAAGCCTGTTTAACTCCTCTGCAAACCTAGACAAAAGCAGCTCAGGCTGGCAAAATGTAGGCACATAAACCTCAAATGATCTCCCATTGTTTTAAACATAAAATAAAAAGCAACAGTGCCAAGCTTTCCTGCTCAAGAAACTCTTTCCAAGGCTTCATTTGTCTAATCCTGCACACTTCTTCATCATGGGCCAAACTCTCACTTATAAATAGGCAGAGATTCAAGGCTATATTCTGGAGCACAGCTGGCCCAACAGCATAGAGAAGATGTTCACTGACAAAGAAGCCAAACAAGACACTGGGATCAGGAGTAGCTGCAGCTCCAAATGCTACCAGAACCAGTCCTTTTCTGCAAAGCAGATCTTCACAAAACAGATGGGCAACACCTTAAGGTAGTGGGGACCATGAACTGCAGTGGCCACACTTGTACACTTCCCCCAGTGTTGTATGGAATTGCACATGGATGGGCACACAGGGAGGGCAGTAATGCTATAGAGCTCTGCTGATAAATCCAGCACAGCTCATCTGCTGGTGTCGTGGGACCAACGGATGAAACATTTCACATTGTACAAAGGAGTAGTAACAGACAGCTAGAAAAGTTCACATATAAAATACTGTACAGATGGTCACGTTGGTTAGGAACAAGGCTAGGAATGGCTTTAACTAGGCTACCATTGCATTAGCAACAAGTACAAAACAATTAAACCATGTGCCTACATTTCTCACTGTGCATTCCCAAAGGTGTGTCCAAGAATGACAGGCTAAGTAAAATGTGGGCCTTCCTCATACTGCCAGTAAAATTAGGAACTGGAAAAGTTTAATAGTAGCATTTCCCTGTTTTCAATTCACATGGAACATCAGTTGCCCAGCTGAAGTTTGGTAACTCAATCTATATGTTAAAAAATGAAACTTTTCTTGATACTAGAAAACAACATTTCCCTTGTAAACCCAACACTGCAGAATTACAGAAGCAGGCAAGAGATCAACAACCAGCAGGGAGAGCAACAGCACAAAGCACATTGTGTTTTAATTTATAGGAATAAGCGGCCTCTCCTCTCTTTTCTTCCAGATATTGGTTTTGCTATCTCTTTTCATGAGAGGTGGTCTATCCCTTTTTTTAGCAGAAGGGATACCAGATTCATGACTTCCTGGCAGAGATTTTTTCCTTAGACCTTCCTCATTATGTTGTTCTAGGACTGGCCCGTTCCCTCCTTCCATAATGTGTCTCACAGCCTGGTCCTCTGGAGTGCAAACAGTGGTCCCACTTTCACTGCTACTCAGATCCAGATCTTCCAAGTAAAGAATCTTAGAATGTGGCATACTTTTAATGAAAGTTTTCTCTCTCTCCAGTTTTCTGTTAGGATGATGCTCATTCATGTCCACACCAGAGTCCAGACTGGTATCATTACTCTCAGTTTTTTTGCCCTTTTTCAGATCTATGAAAGAATGCCTCACTTGAGCAATTGGCTTCCCATCCAAGGACACAAACCACGCTCGAGGATGCGGAGATGGTTTTCCTTTAGAGAGCTCCAGCAGTGTTTGCTCTGAAATCCCTTGAAGTTCAGATGAAAAGGGAGTCATTACCACTGCCTCATTCAGTGTCCCAGGAACAGAGACAGATTCCAGCAAGCTGTTGGTGTACCTGCCCCAGTTGGATGCTTGGGAAGGCAAGCCCTCTTCACCATCCAGGGCACTGCTCTCATCTCTGCAGGCAGAAGGCTGGGGATGAGAGTGCACTGGCATTTTGGGGAGTGTTTGCATGTAACTGTCCCTATTCACGGGCTCCATCATGGGGCCGTACACCAGCTGCCCTTTCCTCGGCAAAGTTGCTGATTTAGCAGGATGCAGTTGTTCTGGGGAGTGGAAAAGGTCTGAGGTTTGAAGAATAGCAATAGGCTGATTGTAAATATGCATTAGATGTTCTGGGATATGGGAAAGCCCATACATCTCCTCTTTCAGTGAAAGGTACCTGTTTTGGTCTGGAATGTCCCTGGGAGCCTGGGAAAGAGTACTGTTACTGTGCTTTGGCTGCTGTAAAAGCCTCACTCCAGCACTAGGCTCCACTGAATGGGCTGAATTTCCTGCCTGACCAGTCTGACAGGATGACTGATAAGAAGCATCCTCTGGGTAGATTTTAAAATTGTCCTGTGATTTTCCATCTTCTGTGTCCATGGACAGCCTCCTTTGAGGACTGTATGAAGAAATCTTAGGTGCATATAACTGTGACTTATCCTCCAGCTTTAAAGTCCCTTTGACAGCACTGATGTGATTTATGTGAGTTGTTGATGTTGTCTGGTCTTTTTTAATGACCTCCAGCTTGGTTGAGTTTTTTTCCTTCTTCTGTGTCTGACGACATTTATCCCTATGCAAAAGAGAAGCAAGGTGACTGCAGAGAATATTAGGAAATACTGGACTGTTGACTACCAAAGCTGGAGGTTAGACTTTGGTTAAGAAGTTGTGGTGTAATTTGACATCACTAACTTAAAATTAAGTTCTGTAAGAACTATAATTTTAAAAAAATATTAGGTTACACATTACAGTTTAGCTAAGAAAACAAGTCTTAACCTCAAAAGACTATTTTATCACCCTCAAATTCCACTCATAATGAGCTCCCTGGAACTTCTTTTGCTTACCTGCAGTAACAAAGAAGAACAGCAAAAAATCCAATGATAATGACAACAGTTCCTCCCAGTATGGCCGTAAGGAACACGGTGTGATAGGCTGTTATGTCCTTGGAAACAGCACTAATAATGGATTCTAGATTATCAAACAAAACCACACAAGCATTAGTTCTTAAAACCCAATTATGTGCAGAGCTAATAAACTGAACAGTACTTTTCCAGTGATTTGTGTTCTAATGGCATTATGTTCATCCTTCCCTTTTCACCTTGCTAGGTGCAAATGACAGGAATTCATCTCGAATATGGTAAGCCTTAGTGTTCATCTCAAATACTAAAGACTTACCATGACATCTACTTCATTCCAGACCAATTATATTTGTATTAATTGTCCAAACTAACTTAGAAAAGTGGTCTACATTTTCTACTTAGCACTCTGCCAGAGAGTGCTGTGTTTTTACAATTAGCCACACTGTTTCTCTCACAGATCCCTTCATATGAATTTACAAAACATGCAAGAAAATTGCTGTAAGGACTCAAACAAAATTTATCCAGGTGGTGAAGTTGAATGTCACTTCTCCCTTCCTGCTGTTAAATGAAGCAGTCAAACTGACAGCCTCATGGGGCATTCAGGATCTGCTTAGCCAGTGGTTGCCATACCTCTTGCTCCAGGCAGTGGAGCTGCAATCCAGTAGCCCAGGTGCTGAGCAGTGTATGTCCATACTAACTGGCCATCCGCCTCCTTCACCACTCCTAGCCCACGGTTCACCCAAGCACCTGGGGGCAAAAAAAGGACAAAACATCGCACATGCCAGGCAGGATTCTTCTGTACCTCAAACCACCAGCAATTAGGCCATTATCAAAAATACACAAGATCACAGGAAAAACTGAAACTTCTGACAGAAGCTGTTTAGTACACAGCTTTAGCCAAACAGGCAAATTTCCTCTCCTGACAATTTCATTTCAAACTTTCATCTGTAGCCATTTACTTTGAAACAAAGCATCAACATTACAACATTACAGAAGTAAACTTAATATGATTAATTTTCTATTAATAACTGTCTTTCACGGATACGCACATAAATAATTTGAGAAAACCTATTATAAAACCTTCAGCGTGCATGAAGTCCAAGACTAAAAATGAGGGAGCAGGTAACTCATGCATATGGACACAAGTTTAACATCGGCTAGCAGAACTTAGTGGGAAAACATTTTAATCTTATTAAGCCACAATAGGATAAACAATGTTTGTCTTGAATGTTTCTCTCCTCCTCCCTGCCCCGAGGCTGTAACAGTTCAGTTAGCCCAAGGAAGTGCTATTGTTAGGACACAGATTCCACACCATCTGTTTGGCAATGCAAAGGAAAGGTATTATCCATTAGAAGAGAGAAAACTATACTTAACTCACTAAAATATGTTTATTGTGGGCCATTTTTGAAATTCTAAGGACAGGAAACAACCTCATGTAACCAACGTTATATATTCAACCTGCAAATACTGAGAAGTAGAGAGAACCGCCAGCTTTTTTAAAACACCAATAATCAAAGTATGAAAACAGTATAACTCATGTAAGCTGAAGCTTATATGAATTTCAATTTGATTTTCTTCCAGGACCCTTCTTTCAGCAAAGGAAAAGTAAATATCTCCCAGCCAGGAGGTAATGATGAGGATGGACACCTGCCACAGATGCAGAGAAAATAAAGCATCAGCCTTCTCCTGGTGCTTGTGATGGCCGGCAGAGGGGAAAGGCAGCAGCAACACCTAGAGCTCTGAAAATGCTTTCTCAGCCCCCTGAGAAATCTTGTCCAGAGTCAGGAGTAATACCAGCAAACCTTGTATAAAAGGCAAAAAAGAAACTTCTAGGTCTCCAGAAGTTCTATCTTGAACAAATCCATAAGAAGCTATACAATGTTTGCTGTCCTTTTCAGCAAATTACATCTTCCCCCAATATACTACATTGAAAATACTTGGTATTAAGAAAAAATATTAAAATGTGATTCATGGGTAAGCCCATTTTCTCTATGGTTTACTGCCATTCAAGCAGAAGTATATAATTCTCAATTTAATGTTGAATGCAAGCTTTCTGGTTTTTGTAATTCTATTAAAATCCACAAAGTACTTTTAGCACTAATGCAGCAAAATACTTCATAAGAAGGAAGCCACACTCAATACAGATGAACAAACTCTGCATTTACAGCAGCTGAGTACAATTAGCAAAGCTCATTTTCCAGGAAGTCTCAGTACTACTCCACTTGGAGGAAGCCCCAGGAGCACTGCTCAGGCAGACCTGTCAAAGCAGTTTCTATAATTTTCCTGCTGCATATGGGTCAGCCCACACAGACCTGTTCCCTTGCCACTATCAATGCTGACATGAGAGCTCTGATTACCATCAGAACACATTATCCAAGGACTTCAGAGTTAAAAATTGTGTCAGTGTCTTGCTGGGGACATCCCACATGCAGCCTCTTGGAGGCCAGAGCCTCATTACTGAGTGCAGCAGGAGCTCTGCATTCAGCTCAGATGGGGGCCTGCTGCTCCTTATGGATGCTCTGCAATGCCTGCTGCAGAGCTGAGGTGTTCAGCTTCCCTCAGCCACCAGAACCTTGACTAAAACACACCTTGCTATTACTCAGTTACCTCGGGAAAAAGTAATTTTGCATGTGTCAGATCAAAGGCAAAAAAATAAAAGGAGCATACTTAAGTATAAACACCCAGGAAAAAAATGCAGTTGCAAATTTTTATTGTTAGAGAAGAAGAAAAGGGAGAAAAAGTACAAGGTAATTTATACCCTAAAAGTTGCTGTCCTTTTTCACCATCCTTCTGTCCCTCTCCTCAGCAAGCAGCAGTGAACAGTACATCTCAGAGAGCATCCATTACAAACAGCTTGCCTTTATGGAATCTCTGTAAAGTACATCCCACTGGAGAGGAAGGACCAGCTGGTTTTACTGGGGTTTGCATCAGCAGGCCATGCTCCTGGCTCCTGTTTTACTCCCAAGGCCAACAATCCCATGCAGGAATGCTGAGTAGGACCCCCACATAAACACCTCACACTGGTTTGTATTCTAACCCCATCCTGTGCTGGTCCAGTTCTGTCAACTCCTTGTTTAACAACAGTGTTGATTTAGCTTTGTTTAGGGAGGTAAAAAAGCTCAGCACAGGATCAGCATAGGAGCTGGCTGTGGCAATGGCAATAAGAAAAGTGGCTGTGGTAATAAGAAATTTAAACCTTGAGTGATATTTTACCACCTCAGACTAAAACCCTCTAAAATGCCATCTCTTTTCACCAATTACCCCTCTAAAGTCTTCTAGACTTAATCTTCTATGCCAAAACTTATCCTATTCACTTTTTCCCCACAAGACAGCCTAGCCAAATTTTATTAGCATGTCCTTAATTCAAATCCATGTTCTTCATTTTTTTTTTTCATTAAGGTGATCAGTTTCTTTCTTGAACATGTAAACAACACTTTGTTAGAGCTGGTGTTTCTCTCCTGTACTTCCACACACTGAACAAAAGCTTTTTACCTTGGTAAGGAGCAAGATGTGACCTCACTCACTAGCATATTTCAAGCCTGTATATTCAATATAAATTCACATTTCAAGGGTGATGGTGACTGTGAGGTGCAGTGCAGGACAATCAGGACACTAATGCACCCACACCTAATACAGGTCAGCTAAATGGGTTACATGGACATAGCTCATTACTCACTCCTGACTAAAATTAGATGTGAAGGGATGACAAAAGGTTTAGAATGACTAATCCCCAGCCTCCTCTTTGCATACTGGAAGAACTATGTTGTTCCCTTGGATAACTCTTATTTCCCCTTCATTTCACTTTCTGAATTGTTTTTGTTAACTGAAGCAGTATCTATTCCAGTTCTAGCATCAAAGGATCTTTAGAGCTGCACTCTAGGAGACAAAGCATCCAAACCTTCAGTTCTGGTTTGCTTTCTTGTAAGAAGGAATTCACAAAATTACTAGGCTTGAAATTTAACATCACCTAAAATATATGTTCTGTGAACACTCAGCCTCCCATGAAAATAAAAATCCAGTACACTAAATGCAGGCAAGAGGAATGCTAATGAATTTTACCAAAGCTTTTTGAACTAATGAAAGCAGGGAAATACCTTTGAACAATTCAAGCTAGTCCATTAAAATAAATGACCACCTATTGACCATCACCTCACAGAATAATGCCACCACTGTTCCCTGACCCACAGTGCCATGTGCCCAAACCTACAGGCATGTGCTAGAAGGCAAAATAACAAATAACCCACTTACCAATTTTCATATCAAATGTCCAGGCAGGTACAGCATCTCCTGATTTTACAGCAGTTGTGGGAAGAGGAAGTGTAACCTGAATGGGACCCTTTATGTTCAGTTCTTTCCCAGCCAACAGAACATTTACACATATGGCAGTAAGAGGAGTTAATTCCATGCTTTTGAAACCTGAGGGCAAGAAATATCTTGTAATTCTCCTTTCACAGATTATTTTAAAAGAAATACATGGAGAACTAAGCTACTTAAGGCAAGTCCTCATCCACATCCAGCTACACAGTCAGCTGTTACCAACTTGCTCAAATGAAAATCAACATTACTTTTCTTCTGAGCTTTTAACAACTTAGGAATAAAACAAAACCAAGTTATTTCTATACCAATGCTATAAGAGAAACACATTTGCATCTAGGCTCTGTGCTGCCCATAGAACTAACCAAGAGGCAAAACTTGGTTTGGGGTGGGGGAGGAAGGGTTTTTCCCCTCAGATCATCAGATTGCAAAGCCCCTCAATGATGTTAAATGCAGATCATACAAGAGTTTTGGTACAATCACAACGTGCATAACATTGAATTAAAGTGAAAGCATATGGAACCTCTCCTGTAAGGATTAATTTCCTAATTTGGCAGCCAGAATTAACTGAATAGTTAATCATGAGGCTTGTAAAAGCACTCAGAGGAAACGTTGCATTTACAAGGCAGCCTGCAAGTTTCTTTCTTTTGTTTTCCTTTCACCAGTTTGCAAATGCTCCAGAAAGCCCAGTTTGACAGGATGGTGAGAGAAGCTGAAACAGAATTACTAAGTAGCAGAATAATGTTAAATCTATGCAGGCTGTTAGAAGCTGGTTGTGAGAGAACTCCTGGCACATCAGATATCAATTAGCTTCCACCTGCCCTAAAAGGAAGCCTATTCCTTCAGGGGTATATGAATAATTTAAAACACATGCCAGACAGATTGAAGGGAAAACTCAAAGAGGATAAACACTGCTTATTCTCCTATGCTTCTTTCCTTCTGCCTTCCATTTAAAGAGGTGAAACACAGATAAGAAAGATTTTTAAATATCTTTGTCAAAATAGCAGTATATACACTGCCTTTAATGGAATGAAAATTAAAAAATAGGATATGATGACTTTAAATAAGCCATGTGTTGCCCTCTCCCTGCACCACGATGAATTTAAGAGCCTCATGGCTTCAGATCCACTGGGAATAGAAAGAAAAGAACAAAAGAAAGATGAAACTGCACACAGTAAAACCTACCAGAGATTACTGTACCTATGCAGATTAAAAAACTATCTGATAGAATGACAAATACTAACAAAATGCAACGGTGTAAGAGCAGAGTTACAACTCATAAAACCACTTAGTGCTTCTCCAGTGAAAGAGATGCACAGAAAACATTATTCCAGCTGTGCTCTCAAGTCCCAGACTTGCCCCGCCTGACTGACTGAGCCAAGAGGGGCTTCCATGCAATCTCTGTGCTGGGGGTAACCCCTAGAACCAGTCACTCCAGTGGATATGCAGGAACTCCTGAACAGCTGAAGCTCATTGCTGCTGTTTCACTCATTTCTTTAGCTTCACCTACTCTACAGTCTGGCTATAATTGCCTTTTTAAAGTGTTTACTAAGCCAGTTCCACAGTCTCATGAAATCCTGAGCATAAATACATACACATACATATAAATGTAAAAAGCAGATTCTGAAGTTGTATTTCAGTGCAGCAAGATATTTTCTCATGCTGCATGGACCAAAATAGAGTAACACTGATTACTGGCCCAATGTGTTCACAGCTTACTCTCCTGTGCAACAAAGCTTTCTGATCCAATACAATGGAAGCAGCTTCAGGCCCTCTTAAGTTGAACATATGTTTTTTCTGAAACACTGTGCACTCATATGCATTATAATATTTCTTTATACGAATCCCTAACCATCATATTCACATACCTGATTTATTTAGAATAATTCCTGTTGTATAGAGAAAGCTGTCCACTTTCAAAAATTGCTCTGGCACTGTCAGATAGGCCGTAACATTTGCAATGTGATTTGTTGGAAGCTTCATTAAAGATTTTGGAAACTGAACACTCGGTTGAGATTTGGCATCTGTAAAAGAGTAATATTTTGTCTTAGGCACAGTAAAACAGACAAACAGTGTCTTTATTACCCTTCAGCAATCCACTTAGCATAACAACCTGTTTTCCCCCATTTTCTCCACGATTTCTGTATTTCCAGTCTAGCACTTGTCACAGCCCCTCGTACAGCTACATAATTAACAGAAAATCTGGCTTTAAGTAGATAGGTATTATATAAAATGATGCTTAATTTTTTTTTCCATGTGGGTGCAGATGGCTATCACAAAGTGTTTAGTTACAGTCTGCATGCACAGAACTTACCAGACAGTTTTCCAGTAATTAAGACAGTATCTTCAAACAGCCATATATTAGCTTGACTTTGTGGGAATAATGAGAGCGTCACGGATGAGTAGACTGTGGAAAATGATAATATCTGTTATTACACTGTGCAACCAAAAAAAAATCCTCCAAGGCCTCCAAATCTAAAGATCTATTGAACAGAGCAGTTAATAAACCAGAGAGCATATGAAGACTAAATAAATTACTCCTGTTATCCAGAGCAGATATTTTAGTGTTTAGGCAGAAAGACTTCTGTTGAATGTTTGCTACTGTTTTATACCTTCTATGGATAAACAAGTGACTAGAAAGTCGCTAGGAAGTGACATAAAATTCTCCTTTTTTAAAAATAAAAATCATGTGCCTTTTTAGGATCATGCAGGAGTTAAACAAGAAAACCTGTGAGGAAACACTGCAGAAGCAGAGCCGTAACAGGTTATATCTGCTTAGAGGACAGAAAGCATTGGCATTCTAAGAATTACTCAGGATGGTTTTTTTTACTCAGGTCAACAGGATTTTTGTCAGGACACATTAACAGCTCTTTGCTAACTCTAGACAAAAAAAATCTAAGAATTCACTGTGTGTCACAACATAACTCACTTAGATTTTCAAAGGGCTATTTTCTGCTTTAGAGTAATCAGAATTTTGACAAGTTTAACAGACCGTTCACCCTTAGATCTGCATCGACAGGCACCATCTCCCTTGACTGACTTCTCTGAGTTGTGTTCAGCTGACAGCAACCACCCAGGCAGCTTAGGAGAGAAATTTAATTACTGCCAGAGAGAGTTTAATAATAGGACTGTAAGATGCTTACGTACTTGGCATCCTCGCAGTCTTCCAAGGCAAAGGTGTCAGCAGGTAGCCATCCTTGTATGAGACAATAGTTAAGCTTAATCCCAGTTTGTAGGGGACTTTTATCAGCACTGCTCCATTGTTCCCAGTGAGAGTAGAATTTGTCAGGGTGTAGTTGACAAACACCTCCACCACCGCTTGGCGCAGGTACTGATGGCTGATGATGTCATGTACTTGAACTTTTAGGGTAAAAACAGATCCTGCTGACAAAAAGAAAAACAGGAGGTCATGGTGATACATCACAGCCAAGGACCATGGTTTTGTAAAGAAGTCCTGGAGCTCAGGTCTTTGCTGTTCATGCACTGCACAGTGGATCCCTATCTCTGGCCAAAGGCAGCGGTAACCGTGCAATTTATACCCCAGAGAAGGGAGAAACAAAAAAACTTAAGATGAGGCACAAAGGTGTCAAAAAGTTTATCAAACTCAGCAAATATAATAACTAACCAGTTAAAAAAAAAAACAAAACAAAAAAACCCCAACATTTCACACCAAATTACCAAGCACAAATGTATCAAAAAGTTTATTAAACTCAGCAAATATAATAACTAACCAGTAAAAAAAAAGAAAAAAAACCAAAAAACCAAAAAAAACACCAACATTTGAAAACAAATTACAAAGCAACCTTCCCCTTTTTGTTTAGGCTTGAAGAATGCATCTGTGACAACAGGAGATTTACTGTGCTCTGCAATATCACACTGCTAATACAGATGGTCTTCTTATCCAACCCTTGGCTTGGGACACACATTTCAAGGTGCACCTTGAGTTTGTAAAGGCAGAGAACCTGATGTCTACAGACAGTGGGACAACACATTTCTATTTACATGTGTAACATTATTATAAATGCATCCAGACACTATTTTAAGCTACCATCTCCCACCAGACTTTTACTTTTTACTGGCTACTTTTCACCTTCCTACACTGCAACTTCTAAACAGTATTTCTCTAATTAGAGGAGCTGATAGTTCATACCACACCCAGTGTCTTGCAGAGATCATAATTACAGTGACTAAAAAGTATGTTGAAAATAATCAATCCACTTGAACAACAGTCTCGAGGTGCTCTGAATCACAATTTCTCTCTCACCCTGATGGCAAATAAACTATTAGGGAGTCTTTTCACAGTATGTGAAAAGGGACAGAATTCCACATTATTTCTAAAATCAACAGAATAAGTTGATTTTAGAAAGAAAAATACCTAAAATATTACTATTAAAAATAGTTTCAATAACAGATTTTCCAGTATTTTGGTTACAGATCTACCCCTATTCAATATCACTGCACTACTTTGTATCCTAACACTTTCAAATCCATTCATCATGAATATGTATTTCTATTTAGGTCAAATGTCAAGTTAAGTTATTTGACATGTATCTACCCAAAATCATACTTCAATTTCACTGTGTTATCCCCACTATAATTGAGATTGACATTGCACCAAGAGATTACTGCCACTGACCTTGATTGAAATGAATAGGTCTTGAGGAACCCAGTGCAATCCATCAAAAAAAAAAAAACAACCCAGTATGTGGTGGAGATGCCCTCCAAGGTGGGCCTGTCTGAAATAAGTATTTATTTAGATCTATTGTATGCATGGAGCATATTGTATATTCATGAAAAAAATGACCTGCACATAACAAAAGCTATGCTGGTCTCATTTATGTTTACCACATACACAGCAAAAACTTACCAGCTGTGCCAGATTGATTTTCTGCAATGTTATACAAAAACCTACATCTCCTTGAGCAGATTGATACATATTTTCAGAAAAAAAAATTTAAAAACCCAGTGGCATTCAAATGTACTTGACAGAATTAATAAAAACATGCACAATAATCTTGGAACAATGTAATCTGTTTTTTTTTTCTTTTCCTTATGTAAGATATCTCGAGAATAAAACTGCTTTAAATTGCTGTGCTAGAGGGGTTTTAAATCATGTGATAATGGGGAAAAAAAATTATGTCCTGTCAGCAAATTACAGGCTCCAAACAGCTCCTCCAGGCATTGATCCAGTTACACAGATACCAGCATCATTCCAGTGGCTGCCAAAACTTGAAAAACAGGTCATTTGCCCCTGGCCAATGATGAGTTAAAAGGCTACAGAGGAGAGGAAACAGGCTGTGTGCAATGTTATTATCCAGTAATCATTTGGAAGTCAGGAGTCCATCATGAAATGGTATTTAAAAGTAAGAAATACAGTGGTACAAAATTCAAGCTCATGCCAGTAAGAAGGAGCACCAGAAATGCCTGTTATAAACTGGCATTTTAACAGCTGGAGTCAAGTTAGGAGAAAAAGAGCCTAGTTTTAACAGCTGAAACCAGTCACAAAAAATTAAAACCTAAAATGTACTCAGAAAGACACATTCTTTCAATCATTTCATACTTCTAATGAGTATCTTCCATTTCCTGCTGACAAAAAGCCTAACAACAAAACACAGGAGAGAGGGCAAATGCCACAGCCCTCCTGCAGCTGTTGGTAAATTCAGAGGTTGGTCTGTGTGCAAAACTATTTCTTCCTCTCATCTCCTTCAGTTACAGCCAGATTAAACCCCAATTTCTTAGAACCTTGAGGTTCCAAAAAAAAAAAATTGAAAAAAAAGAAAAAAAAAAAAAAGCTGTGCTGTTTTCACTCTCTGATAGTGAACTGAAAAGAATATCATTGGCTGGTTTTAGCCATGCTGAACTTTAATTAGTTCTTTCTCCCATGGATATAGGAATTGCCACAGCATTTCCCCAAAGTGATGCTCTGCCTGGAGGGGCATTGAGGAGATGCAGACATCAGGCTGGAAATGCAGATTGAAATCCCAGGGACTGAAATGCTGGGGGTTGCTGTGAGTGTCACACACAGGAGTGCTCACTTTGTGCCCCTCAACATGCAGACACAAATTAAAGGAGACCCAGCCCCTGCTCTTGGTGCCTTTGGCCTTTCCTTTTGTGCTAACAAAGAATCTCCCTGACAAGAGGGAGTTGTGTCCTGCCTGCACTTGGATTTGCTAATATCAACTCTGCCAACAAGTCACTTTAAACTCCCACACAATGGTTTGGGAGAGACTTTTGAAAACAATTATTCCTTGCACTCCTTGAGAGTAACAGCACAGGAGCCATGAGGACTCCTCATTGTGCCTCTATCCAAATGCTTGTGAAACGGCAGCATGTGAAAAATCCACCTGAAAAAGAGCCAGAATCCAACAGTAACAATTTTCCACTCACAAAGCCACATTGACCACAGTTTTTCAGACCAGTTGTTGCAGCCCAGTGAAAAGCAGGAGATTCCCAGGGCCCAAAGCTCAGAGTTTGAATGCAGTTCTGGTCCTACAGCACTGATCATTGCTTTCCAACCTTCACATCCCCTGACCAGCTCCCTCCTCACAAGGCCCACATCCATTTAATGTGTAAATTTATCACTAATTTAATGGCTTTCAGTTATTAACCATGTCACAGTAACATCCAAGACACTTAATTTGCAAAGAAAATACTGCCTTTGTTTTTCTTTTTATAAATGCCTTAATTTACAAGCCTTGAACAACAATTTTAAGTCTCAACTCTGATAGAAACTGCAGGAGGATATTTTAATCACATATAAATATATAAAAGGAGACTCAGCCCCTTTTCTTTCATATAAGACTCAACCCCTTTATGTATCCTTTCAGTATATATAAAATACACTGAAAAACCTGTTCACATAAAAATAATGAACACTTGGCTAGCTTTTTAACAAAACCAAAGCTGAAAACTTAAACAATGGATGAACCTTGTGCTTTTTTCTGGTCACTGACACGTGCCAAACACAAGTGGGTCAGCTGTATCTCAGTATTAAACAGATTTGACAGAACTCCTACAATTAGAAGAAAGAACTCAGTCCTTGCTAATTTGATTTGTGCTGCCTCAGAGGAAGGGATTCCTCTCTTGGCAGGTCCACTGGAAATGCCAACTCCTACAGCATTATAAAATGTTTCTGATAAACCTTCATACAAATGCAGCAGTTATTCACACAGAGGGGGAAAAAGGCTGCTTACTACATTTAGCTACTTAAGTCTGATCAGTAAAACTGATTTTACTGAATTTACACCTGATTTCTTTGAGAAGAAATATCTAATGCCTGGAATTTGGCTTCATATCCTTGTCCTAACTCAGAAATCCTATCACAGAATTAAGTCAAAAAACTGCTTGGAATTGCAAGCTGGGTACAAATGTAACAGTGCAAAAAAAAAAAAAAAAAAACCAAAAAAAAACCCCTCTTAATTATGGTGCATGTAATTTGTTCTTAATTCTGCAGACAAGCATGTCATCTGGTTACCATGTATGTGAGATTTAATTACCATGGTCAAGGCTAAGGCCCTCACAGGCACCAATATGTTCCAAACTCCACAAAACTGAGGTATGGGGGTGAAAACCCACACACAGGGCACTGCCCAGGGGGAATTCCTACACATCCTGCCAGCCCTAAACCCTTTTTTTCCTCTATTAATCACCAAGTTCCTACAGCCACAGAGGTTCTGCACCTGGAAGGAGGCAGCTACTCTTCTCAAACATACAGACAGCTACCCAGTTAACAATTATCTAATGGGATGAAAGGTAATTTAATCAAATTATTCCTTAGTTCCTTCCTTCAGAGAGGACTCCTCTCACCCTTGCCCAGAGGTGTTTAAACCCATGGCAGACAATATGAGCTGATATGAGCTCTGTGGCTCCCTCCTAACCAGGCAGAGAAATCCCAGGCTGTGCCATTTCCTTGATCTTAGCTGAGTGAAGAACCCTTCTTCCATCCTTTACCTTCATAGAACACCACATTTTTTGGCTTAGCACAATTAGGGATATGAAGGGTGCACTGATCTGTAAGGGAACAATGTGTAATCAGAATAAAGGGTTTTACTACACATCCAATATTGCAATGGGGGGTGGAAATCAATGAATACACAACCCAGACAGGCAACACACATCTGGCTTCAGTAACAAAAAGGTCATGCCAAAGCCATCCCCCTGCCCACAAACACCAATTGCTACTTCTTAGAATTACCTTAAAACTAGCAAACTACTTCCCTTAAAACTACTAAAAGTAATAGCAGTGACAAGCTACAAAAGCTGGGGAAAAAAAAGAGGAAAAATATGGGAAAATTAAAAAAAAAAGGGGGGGAAAGATAGGGAAAAAAACAATGGGGGGGAAACGATGGGGGGAAAAATAAAGGTGGGGGAAAAATAAAGGTGGGGGAAAATAAGATGGGGGAAATGGGGGAAAAAAGAATG